CAGGAACGGATTAATTACGAACAACGAGGGACCACTGTACTGTGTATGTATTTTACTTTTTATTGTGTTTTTTAATGCCTAGTTCTATTACTACCTTAATTTATTTTTTGTTAATAGTTCGGGGTGTCTGAAACAAATTAACTGAATTTACATCATATCTTATGGGAAATATTACTTCAGTTTTCATCCATTTCAGACTTTGACAAACCTTCTGAAACAGATTAAGGATGAAAACTGGGGGTCCACTGTATAATCAAAACTAAGTGCTAAGCCACCAGGGTCATACAGCACTGCAGGGTAGAGATTGTAAGGTCAGTGAAGAGTGCTAAAGGAAGTATTATCAAAGGTTGCATAACAAATCTGTTGCTGTCAAAAAGTCAAAGAGGGAGTCTGTGTTAAAGGTAAGGCTGTCAGTGAGGAGGGAAGATAAAGGATGTTAGAGCAGTGATGATGCAGAAGGTAAATTTTGCATGCTCACTGACAGACTGGACAGTCCAACAGAATATGGCAAACTGAAATCGGAACAACACAATTCACACAGTGGAAATGGGTGCCTCTCCATGAGATACCCCACAAGTGAGATGTGTGCGTCTTATGCAAAGAATGAGAAAGCATAGTCTCCCAACCACGACATCAATGATCAGACAAAGATCATAAACTCGGCTTGATGGTGTAATTTGTTATGAATAAATTCAGACCAATGTTTCTGACAACAGCTGTGAAGGTGGCTAGAGATGACAGCAAAATAATTTGAGAATGGAATACCTCTAAATGAAATTGGAAGGTCGTATACCACTGATTGCGCAGCAGAGTCTGCCTGCTCATTGCCCTGAACATCAACATGCCCAAGTATCCAGAAGAAAACAATTTCTTTGCTTTTTGCTAGAAATGCAGTGCAACCCAAGTTGTATACATAGAACTGGGGGACGAGGCAACTTAAATTTTTTGATAGGCTGCAAAGCACTAAAGGAGTCCAAGACTACATAAACGATGAAGTAGGCCTGGACACAATACGGATAATTGCTAAGAGAATTGCATACAGTTCATCTGTGAAGATACTAGCCGAGTAATAAATGACCTTGTACAACACTGTCCAGGAACACTACTGCAAACCTGACAACGTCAGAGGATTTAGAACCATCAGTGTAAACTGCAACAGCCCAAAAATGAGGCCAGAAGTGGATAAGAAAAAGAGAGGAAAAAGCCACTGTTGATACTGTAATGGAGTTTTTGTGCATGACAGTGGGGAAGAACAGATACAAACAGTCGGATCTTCCCAAGGAGGAAAGAGAAAAGTTAGATGATAGAAGTACATACATATGAAGAGGGCAACTAAAGAGAAGTCAAGAGTGAGTGAAGATGAAGAGGAAAGGAACAGAGTAAACAGGGGCAGTGAACAAATAATGGATCTCTACTAACATCCATTATTATCCTGTATGTAGAAGGATCGTGAAGGTCACGAGAGCGGACAAAAAAAACAGAGGCAATGGGCATCACAGCAATCATTCAAGGATGGAACATTCACCTCTGCATAAAGGCTCAGAACAGGGGACAAGCGAAAAGCACCTAGATATAAATGTAATCCCTGATGATGAATGGGATCAAGTTTAGAAGGAGTTGCAGGAGAGGCTTCAGAACACATCTGGTCGCCATAGTCTAGTTTTGATAAAATTAGGACGGAATGCAGTTGAAGAGGAGTTGATGATCTGCCCCCATGAAAGATGAGCAAGTTTTACAGTCGGCAGTCAAACAGAAGGCTTAGAAATCTGACCATGCCACTTTCAAGGAGCCATTCAGGTATAATGAAGTATCAGAAACAACAGAATCTCTGATGAAAGTAATTTGGTGCATTTCAGTCATAAAATTTAAACTCGTGTAATGGTCCAATGGGAAACACGGTTGACAGCATTCTGGAGTGAGGCTGGTACTAGGCAATAGTCAGCAGTCATCGATATAAAGTGATGACCAAACATTAGATAGAGAGAATACAGGGAGATCATTTATAGCAAATAGAAAAAGAGCGGTGTTAAGGACACATCCCTGCAGGACACCTTCAACTTAGACAGTCTAAGGAAAGCAAATTATTAACCACCTGAACACAGAAAAGTGTCTCAGATAAAAAGTTTTTAAGGAAAAGTGGCAGACTGCCTTGGAGGCCTAAGGAATGAGCTTGGGCCAAAATGTTAAAGCTCCTAGTAGTGTCATTATGCCTTTTCAAGATAAAAAAAGACTACAATAACCGAGTGGTTACTAGCACTAGCATTACGAACATAGGCATCTACATGGAGTAAGGGGTCAATACTGAAGTGGAGTAAGGGGTCAGTAGCAGAGTGGCCCTGACAAAAGCCAAACTGACTAGTGGAGAAGCTATTGCATGTCTAAGTACCACACCAAACATCTATCTATTAGACATTCCATCAACTTGCAACTGTACTGGTAAGAGCAATGGGATGATAATATGAGGCATTATGACCCTAAGTACCTGGTTTACGAAAAGGCAGAACAATGGAAGTTTTCCACAGCTGGGGAAGAACTCCTTGCAACCAAATAAGATTAAAAAGATGTAAGCAGACTACAAGGGCAGACAGATGTAAATGCTGAAGAATATAAATATGAATGCCATCATGTCCAGCTGCCAACTATCAGCAAGTGGAAAGTGTTGACTAGTTCTAGAAGCAAAAAAAAAAAAGCACATTATAAGACTCTTCCCTGCTAGAAAAGTAACTCTCTGGCAGATTTGGAGGAAAGAAATGAGGGGTATAGATGGAGCCCCTGAGAGATATGGACAAGATGATATTCCAATTTCTGTGACAACTTCAAGAGGGCTAAGTATACTGACATTGGCAACCCTAAGAACCAGAGCTGGGTCTGGAGTGTATTTGCCACTCAATTTCCATATTTTTTCAAAACTGCGCTCAAAGTCAAAAGTGACTGAAGAAACAATCCTGCCAACAAGTGCATTTAGCTTCTCGGATGGAACGTCGGGCAACTGCCCTCGCCCACTTAGTTACCCTGTGGTCCTATTACAGTGGAACCTCAAATATCAAACTTAATCCGTTCCAGGAGCTAGTTCTAAATTTGAAAAATCTGAAAAGCGAAGCAATATTTCCCATAAGAAATAATGGAAATACAATTAATCCGTTCCAGAAACCCAAAAATATTCACAAAAAAATACATTTTATAGAGATTGATTCCAGTTTTACATACACACAACAAATATAGTGTTCAATTATGTATTAATAAATGTAAATAAACATATAAAATAACATTTTTACTTACCTTTATTGAAGATTAGTGATGCCATCTGGAAGATAGGGAGGAGGAGAGAGGGAGTTGGGGTTAGTGTTTGAAAGGAGAATCCCCCTCCATGAGGGCTTCAGGTATCAAAGCCCTCTCTGGGGTTACTTCCCTTCTCTGTCAAACTAGCCTCTGCTGGCCTTAAATTCACTACCAGATCGGCATGCAACTTTCTTGCCTTTTCACAAATACATGTAATGGTCTCTGAAACACTATCACCTGCCATCTCTTTATCCTTGATCCACACCAGCAACAACTTCTCAACCTGATCAATTGTCTGTGGTCTTTTTTTTGTTAGCATATGAACACCTTTCGCAACATCAGCTTCCTTGATTTGTTCTTTCTTTGCCAGGATAGAAGCAATGGTCGACTTGTTTTTCCCATACATCCTGGCAAGCTCAACAAGTCTCACGCCACTCTCATACTTCTGTATTATTTTCTTCTTCACATCTATGGTGTTTCTCACTTTCTTTACCACAGAGGTACCACTAGCAAGTTTCTTTGGGCCCATGGCAGCTTATTTCACAGTCCCACAAGCACTAAACACAACGAAATATAATCATAAAATGTTTGAATGAGAGCGCAGGTTAGTGTTCACTCAAGCATCAACAAAACCAGACTGGCTCACAGCGCCTGCACGGGGGCGTGGACAGGTCCAGTACCCGGCAGTTCGAAAATAGCGGCGAGTTCAATAATAGGGACAAAGCTGGTTAGAAAAAAACGTTCGATTTTTGAAGAGTTCGATAAGTGATATGTTCAAAATTTGAGGTTCCACTGTATAATGATATTGGCCCCATGCTATTTTGAGTACTGTTTCTAGTGATTCGCAACACAATGCTGTAATAGCGGGTGAAAGGATGTGTGTTGCTCTTTTGAGCACCAGTGGTGGGAATTTATCTAAATTTCCTGACTTGTTTTTCAGCGAATTAATAATCTGTGCGGGCTCAGCTGGAGCAAGATAAAGGGATGCTGGAAAGCTTCCAACAAGATAATCACTCGCTCAAGTATTAGTGCTAGGAATTTTATTAGCTAGACTTAATCCTATAGTAGAGAACAAATCATTTAATTTACTGACTGTTTCTACAGCCTGGAGGTGTGGTTCACCGAGTTTAGTTAGTACAATATCTGATTTTGGTCGGCTCCAGGTCTTTTTCATATTACCTCATTTCATTGAATCTCCTAACACAGTACAGTAGTTTAGTAAGGACTGTCAAATAGTTTTTGGTATGTTCTTTAGTTATTAAGCTCAGTCTCTATTGTTTTTTGTAGATATGTACCTTATCTATGGATGTGACTAAGAGATATGTATCTTATCTATGGATGTGACAAAGAGACTACGTAGCCATGGGCTACTCAGTCTCTCTGCTGTAATCTGCTTAGCTTTTATAGGACAATGTTTGTTGTAAAGATTTTGTATTTTTTTGTGGAAAATTTTTTAAGCCAGCCATCAACACCCTTGTCATTGTCAAATTGTGTTCTCCAGTGAATTTAACTTAGAGCTGTAGTGAAGTTATTTATGGATGTCTTGTCATGGAGATGAAATGATATCTTACTATATTCAAGTGGTAGTTTACAACTGTTTGTTATGAGGAAGGCAAGGTAGTGATCAGTAGTACTGTTTGTGACGATCCCTGCTTTGAGAGGAGCTAATATATTTATACACATATGTATGATCAATTGTGGTTGAACTCATCTCTGTTTACCTTGGTTCATTATAGCTGGTATGAGCAATGAGTTGTTCATACTACTTATGACGTCTGTTATAGGTGCCTCCTCAGCTAGGCCAAGGTTAATGCTGAGGTCACTAGAAAGTAATAGGACATGTTTATTTAGGTGCTTGTTAGTTATTAGGTTTTTTTTTTTTTAGGTTGTCACTAAAGCTTGGAATATTAGTATGTGGTATCCTGTATATTACACCAACTGGAATGGGAGTCCTTGCGTGTTTGGTTGAAAAGTTAGCAATTATATATTCACCATATTTACCTCTGAAACATGTAGAGCTATTGCATAATGGGGGTGGAATTGTCATCGACTAATAGCAGATGGCAATTCCACCCACCATTTGATCAAGCCAGCAGTTATGATGGACAGTGAAAGGATTAAGTACAATGTAACTAGGAATGATTGGTCATGATTTAGGGTGTCCCAGTAATTGAAGCAGGCCTAGTAAAAATCCATAACACAAACCAGGAGGGGATAGGGGCCTTACCTATCATCGGGCAAATCACCAATTATTGATTAATTCCGCTACTTTAAGCATGACTTCAAACTACTTCCGGTCCTGAAACCAACCAAATTCATCTGTACTTCAGTAGAAAGCATTCCATTTTATCAAATGATATGAAGAAACAGCCAATCAAACCATAAAAATCATCCTAGAAAAACACCTGAAATTTGCTATTCTAAACCAAACACAAGGTCAGAGGTTTGCTCTTCTCATCGTGCACCCTGTGGAGCTGGATTTTTTTTTTTTAATGTCACAGTTGCTCATTTGCTTGAAATTACTAAAAACCACAAATGTAGTTGAAGTTTTGGCAATAAAAATTGAAAACCAAAACCTTGTCATTGTGGTTGTATACAAGCCACCAGATACACTTCCCAAGAATTCAAGGCACAGCCTTTGAAAACTGACCACTTTCTGGAAAAATCTTTCAACCCCAGCCCCAAATATTTTTTTGTTGAGCGATTTAAACTTAAGACACCTAAAATGGAGGAATGTGGCAAATAATGTTTTAGCAGAGATAACCCCAGGAGGCAGCTCAGATCAAAATCCACACACGAGTTGTTAAAACTCTGCCACAAATTCATCTTAACCCTTTGACTGTCGCGGCCGTATATATACGTCTTACAAGGTACCGTGTTTGACGTATATGTACTCATAAATTCTAGCGGCTTCAAATCAAGCAGGAGAAAGCTGGTAGGCCCACATGTGAGAGAATGGGTCTGTGTGGTCAGTGTGCACCACATAAAAAAAATCCTGGAGCACGCAGTGCATAATGAGAAAAAAAAAACTCCGACCGTTTTTTTTAATTAAAATGCCGACTTTGTGGTCTATTTTCGTATAGTATTTATGGTTGTATTCTCGTTTTCTTGATCTCATTTGATAGAATGGAAAATATATTATAGAAATAGAGGTGATTTTGATTGATTTTACTATAAAAAGAACCTAGAAATGGAGCTCAAAGTAGGGAAAATGTTTGATTTTTGCCAATGTTCAAAAGTAAACAAATGATGCAATTGTCCAATAAATGTCCAACTAGCCATTCTAATATGCAGTCATGAATGGGTTGATGTTATTTATACAATTATTACAGTATTGCAGTAGTCTGCATAATAGTAAGTCTTCAATTTTTTGTTTGAATAAAAATTCAAAATAGAAAGCAAGAGTAATATCAGAGGGGCCTGGAGACATGACTGATGAGCAAAGAAAATGTTATTTTAGAGCCAGGAATGTCTGCATTGTTCATTCTGGACCTTATTTTGAAATTGTCATATTTTTTATTTTCGTGAAATTGGCCAAATTGCAAATTTCTGACCACATTATTAGGTAGTTGAAATCGGTAAATGGGCAGTTTCTTGTACTCAATCGATAGAAAAAATGGAGTTCTAAAGAAATAGCTATGAGTTTGGGCGACTGGAACAATGGAATTAGCCGAAAATAGGGCTCAAAGTGGGCGAAATCGCCGATTTGTAAACAGTGCCGAAGTCGCTAAATTCGCGAGAGCATAATTCCGTCAGTTTTCCATCAAATTTCGTTTTTTTGGTGTCATTACAATCGGGAAAAGATTCTCTATCATTTCATAAGAAAACATAATTTTTTTTTTTAAATTTTGCGACACCAGGAGACACCTCAAGATTGGGGGTTGCGACAGTCAAAGGGTTAAGCCAGCAAATAGCAAATAATGGAGCTAACAAGACTGAAAAATACACTTGATCTTTTCTTCACTAATAATGATGATCTAGTACGAAATATAGCAACTTCAGCCATTGCACTTAGATCACAACGTAATTGAAGTACAAACATGTATGTGCAGGGCTCCTGACCAACAAAATGAGATCTGTGACAAAAATCAAAGGCCTACCATACAGGAAGGTCTTTTTTTCATCAGTGCATTATGCTGGATAGCAGCCGTTAGCATGGCATCATGGTCTGCCGCCACACTCCACAGTGACTCCTCAGTGCTCACGTGGCTGCCGTGATGAGAGTAAGTGTTGCACTTTAGTCTCTCATCCGCCCCATCTTTTGTCCAGTGTTCCCTTTGGTTTTGGGGCTATACATGTTTGATTATGGGTAAAAGGAAGTCTTTAACCCTTTCAGGGTCCACAGGCCCTCTCAGAGACTTGTTCTCAGGGTCCCCCAAATTTAAAAAAAGAAAAATTATTTTTCTTCTCATGAAAAGATAGAGAATCTTTTCCCGATCATAATGACACCAAAATTATGAAATTTGATGGAAAATTTACGGAATTATGCTCTTGCGAAGTTAGCGGTCTCGATGATGTTTACGCATCGGCGATTTTGCCCAATTTGAGCCCTATTTTCGGCCAACTGCAATGTACTAGTCGACAAAAATCATAACTATTTCACTAGAACTCCATTTTTTCTATCGAATGAGTACAAGAAACCACCAATTTACCGATTTCAACTATCCAATACAGTGGTCAGAATTTAGCAATTTTGCCAATTTCACACAAATTTCAAAAGATGCCAATTTCCAAATAGGGTCCAGAATAAACAAGAAAGACATTCCTGGCACTAAAATAACATTTCCTCTGTTCATTAGTCACGTCCCCAGGCCCCTCTTACATTTCTTTTGCTTTCCACTTTAAATTTGTATTCTCACATAAAAAAAAATAAGATTTACTGTTAGGCAGACTACTGCATTAGTGTAGAAATGGTATAAATAATATCGGCGCACTTGTGAAAGAATATTAGACTCGCCAGTTGACGTGTATTGGACGCTTAGCATGATTTGTTTACTTTTGAACTTTGGTAAAAATCGAACATTTCTGCTACTTTGAGCTCAATTTCAAGGTACTTTTCATTGTAAAACCAGTCAAAATCATCTCAATTTCTGTAATGTGTCTTCCATTCTATACAATGAGACCAGGAAAACTAGAATACAACAATAAATACCAAATGAAAATATAGTGCAAAGTCGCTGTTTTAATCCAAAAACACGGTCAAAGTTTTTCTTTTTCTCATTACGCACTGTGTGCTGCAGGATTTTTTTTATACTGAACACACTGACCACATAGACCCATTCTTTCATATGTAGGCCTACCAGCTTACTCTCACTAGATTTGAAGGCGCTAGAATTTATGAGTACTAGTACATTATGGACACTGGCGTGTAAGCCGTACTAATACGGCCGAAACCCTGAAAGGGTTAACACCTAAAACCATAGCTCAAATCATAGGGCTTCACAAAGCTGGGCAACAGATAAAAGAAACAGTAGAGAATGTTGGTGTGTGTGAGCATTCAGTGAGGAACTGGGTGCAGCGTTTCAAGCCTGGTGGCGGTGCCAAGTTACCATCTGCCAAACCTCAGCCTGGCCCCTTGAAGAAGACATCTATTCATACATTAACTGTGTTAAAGCAGCAGTTAGAGAGTACATCTAAGAAAACTGCTAGAGAATTGAAAGAACAGAACCCACATCTTCTCTCAGAGGTGTCTGTAAGAACTGTTAACAGATGTGTGTCAGAACTGGGCTACAGTAGTCACTGCCAGGCTAAGAAACCGATCCTCTCCAAGCCAGAGAAGAAACGTAGGCTGGATTATGCAAAGAAATATCTTCACTGGAATCCTCAACAGTGGTCTGAAGTACTTTGGAGTGATGAAGCAACCTTCACTGTCACCTGTAACCATGGGGGACGTGTACCAGCCGAGAGGTAGTGACCTGCTAGACCCATGCTACACCTGTGGAACCACCAAACACCAAGACTCGTTCATGGTTTGGGGGGGGTGTCAGTGCTCAGAGTGCTGGTGAACTCATTGTGCTTCCCAAAAACCAGTACAGTATATGAACCAGTATAATTACCTGGAGTTATTGTGTAACAATTTCCCTGAGGCGTTAGACAAGTGTAGGGCTACGGTTTTTGTGCAGGATGGTGAACCATGTCATACCGCCAAATCTGCAGTTCAGTGGCTTAAGGACTGTGAAGTGAAGTTCTTTGATGACTGGCTGAGCAAATCCCCAGACCTAAACCCTATTGAGAACCTCTGGTCAATAGTGAAATGAACTTACTGGGCAAGGATATCAGTTCCATCTCGCTGCTGGAGGCTCCTCTACATGAGGCATGGAAAAATATACCTCCCCAAACCCTCAAGAATTTGTGAGTCTTCCTACACGGCTGAGGGAAGTGATTAAGCATAAGGACGCAGCACCAAGTATTAAAACCTCAGTAAGTTGTAAATATATATATTATAATCTTTCATGGTGTGTGTTTGTGTTTTGGTATGTGTGTGGGGGAGGGGCAGCATAATGCCGTGACTAGCACTGCATATGAGCGATGCTATCACCAATAACGCAGATCTATGCAAGACAGTGAAAGGGTTAGCAGTACGTACTGACAACACTGGGGTTTAAAAAATATTTTTTCTCTTTAGAAATGGTAGAGAATGTTTTTCTGAAGGTGATGACACCAAAAATATGAAATCTGATGGAAAACTTGTGGAATTATGCATGCACAAAGTTGGTAGTCTTGGTGCAATTTATGTACATACAGTGGACCCCCGCTTAACGATCACCTCCAAATGCGTCCAATTATGTAAGTGTATTTATGTAAGTGCGTTTGTATGTGTAT